CCAGTTGAGTACGGTTGTACTTGAAGCAAAGGGTGTATTCTCACACTAATACTCACACTAATTGAATAAGGTAAAGGACTTTCATTATTCTTACTATAAATATGAAAAAATAGAGGTACAAAAAGTTCTAGTAACTTTTCCACATATCACAGTTGATTGTTGATAAAAATGGAATAAAACAAAAGCCAGACTCCTGAGATTAAAGGGTATTTTGTATCCGGGAAAATAAGCAGTACAATCTGGAACTTTAAGTCTGGTGCTTCAAAGAATAGTTTATTTAAAACGATTTTTAATTTATGTGTGTGAATGTTTTGCCTGAACGCAGAGAAGTGCACTATACATACATACATGCATGCCTGGTGGCCCAAAGGTCAAAAGAGGGTACGCGATCCCCTATAACAGGAGTCACAGACGATTTTAAGGCACCATGTGGGTTCTGATAACTGAATTCAAGTCCTCTGAGCCCTATCACCAGCCTCAAGTGTTTCTTTTAAAACAGGTGGCACTTGAAAGAGGCAAAACCATGTGACCAAGTGTCACAGATTTGGTCAGTTACCCCAACTGTAAGACTGGGGTAGGTTCTAACAAGTCTGCAACCTCCGTTATGCTTCTGTCGCTGTAGGAGGCCATAGCTGGGGTTCCGACCTGTGGATATTCGGTTACTAGTTATGAAGAACTCAGGGCAGTGCGTGTTTAGTAAACGGTAACGGGGCGCTTTCCATCCTCTTGGGAAGGTCCTACCTCAGTCAGCGTTGCAGTGGGAAATAGCGTTGCATGAAATAAAACTTTTTCTGGCACTGCTACACAGGAAACTCAGCTCGGTAACAGGTTTGTGCTAACAGGCATAAACAGTGCCTAACAGACCTAAAAAGGTCCCTGGCCTCAGAAGCCACTTCAACCAGGCCGTTGCTAGGCGACCTTCCGGCGGTGGGATAGAGGCCGGGCAGCCTGCGCAGGTTCCGCCTCCACTTCCCGCCCAAGTTCCCTCCCCCTCGGGCAGTCGGAGCGTCAACTCGCGCGACCAGCCGAAGCCCGGCGGCGCGTGCGCGCTACTTCCCGCGCCGCTCGGAGTGACGCACGCTCCGGCTCTAGGCCTCAGCCTCCGCCCCGCCCCCCAGCGTACGGCTCTCGCCCCGAGCCCCCGGCTACGTCCTCACGGGGGGGGCTTCTCCAACGCCCCGTCCTCCACCTCGCCAACACTGTAGAACTGGCTCAAGCGTGCAGACCCACCTCCCGTGCTCCCGTGGCGGCGGCGGTGGTGATGATGGGCCGGCGAGGACCAGGCCAATGGGCGGGATGTGAGGAGGCAGCGGTTGCCCGGGACCTACTTCCGGAGGACGGGCGGAAGTGGCTGCGGCGCCTGGCGGGAGGGGGAGAGGAGCGCGAGGGGAGGGCCGGGCCACAGGGGGTCGAGGGGGTGGGGCCTGCTGGCGGCTGGGACCCGGCCCGGCCTGGATCTGGAGCTGGGAGAGCCGGGGCTCCCAGCCGGGATCGGATGGGCGGGGTCCAGGTAAGGAGCCCGTGCGCCCAGGGACCAAGTCGCAGGCGCGGCGGAAGCAAGGGTTCGCAGTGCTGGGAGGGTCTCCGTGTCACTGTGCCGTGGGAACGCCGAGCGCCTAGCGCGGGGTTCAGAAGGGAAGGGTGGGAGGAGTTAAGTTCTTAGCGGGGGGTGTCCTGTGTCCGCCACGCCCCTACAAGAAGAGGGGCGCGTGCCTGTGCGCGCGCGCGCGTGTGTCTGTGTGTCCGTATGTCTGTAAAACTCACAGAGGGCAGGGGCACCAAGGAGGGCTCCCAGACTGAGAAATTGGGACTTCTGCCAGCAGGACTCAGGCCTCAGATAGTCCAGGAGAGTGCTCTCGGGAGTGGCCCTGGGAAGGAGTTTGAAAGAAATTGGGAATTACATCCTTGGCATAGTTTCGGAAGCTGTGGGGGAGGTGAGGGTTGCAGGGGATGCCTGTGGAAGGTGCCAGCATCTAGGTCTGGGTAGGATTCAGTCCCATTGACAGGAGGTAGGAGATTAAAACACTGAACCCCCAAAGAAGCTTGAGAGAGAGAGAGGATTAGTAAGTGGTGTTTTAGAACGTGGGACCTTATTTTCTGTATTTTTAGAGGACCGTCTTTCCACACTGACAGTACTTTTGGTTGCATGTCTGTACTGAGAGTAGTTAGGACCCAAGCACACATACACGTATGCTCAGAATGATGGGGCTACAGTTTGTGTATGAAGTATGTACTTTTTGTACAAATTGTGTGGAGTAGTTGAAGAGCGTTTGTTGGCTGAACACGGTAAAGGACTATAGTCAACATGGAGGTCTCAGAAAGATTGGAGAGTGTCATAATGTTTAAATGTTCCACAGGTTCCCAGAGAAAGCTTCCTGGGCCATGTCGATGTTACAGCCAGTTTCTTCTGAGCCCCAGCAGAACACAAGTGGACCAGTGGATGGTTTCTCTTGCTTGAGCAGGAGATGGCATAATACCTGGAATCTGCCTACCACGAGCCTCTGAGCTTTAGAAGCCAGCTGGATGAAGGGATGTCATAACTGCATGGAAGGGCCACGGAAATCAGCAGTGGGGGGGGAGGGGCCTGGACACACCCCTTCCCCCCCAGACTCCTCCCGGTCAGGGTCCACCCGGCCATGGACTTTGGACCTGGATAAGTGGAGAGAAGCTGTGCTTTGGTGAATCTGATTCAGTTTGAAAATGGAGTATTAAGTGGGGGGGGGGGGCTTGATGATCTCCAGGGGAGCCACTGAGAGAAGAAAAGAAAGGTAAGGTTCTTCCTCCTTTCTCACTTGGTGCCCTGCTGTTGCTGTGCAGGAGATGGGAATGGGGACAGTCTGGGAAGGCAGCCATGTCTGAAGTCAGGGCACCTCCTGTGCCCTGATGAAAAAGAACCTTATTCTGATGGTACACAGGAAGCATCACCTCTACCTCTCTTTCAAGGGGCAGATATGACCCTAGCCTGTCCCTTACTGAGGTCACAACAGATAGCTGGTAAAGGATTTGGGTGCTTGCAATTGTGAGCTCAGATAGGTGAGGTGAGGTCAAGGAGAGCATGCAAGGCAATCGGGCTGCAGGGCTGTTGGATTAGGTGCCTTTCAAGGCCTTTCCACTAGTGAGCTAATAGGATTTCAGACCAGTCTGGACTGACCGAAATGGATTACTCACTCTGGCAGAGGCAGACTGCTTAGTTTTGGGAATCTATTAACTAAGGGAGGGGTAGAGAGGGAGCTGGAGCAGGAAATGGCTAGATAACTTCCTAAATTGTCTCTGCCTTTTTTCCCAGTAAGGAAGCTAAGGTCTTGAACCCTCATGGAAAGAACAGAAACAGCTTGAGTTTGGGGAGCAGTAAAATTTGTGGTCTAGCTCCAACTTTCCTGTTCAGTGTGCAGCCTGAGATACGTTAATCACCTTCTGTGCTGTTCTCGTCACACCAGACAATACTTCACTCAGGTTGCGACTAGGAACAAGCGAAATAATTTTGCCTTTTGAAAGACCTTGTTCATATAAGACAGCCACATCAATTTTACTTGATTTCTTGTTTATTGTAATACATAGAAAAGCTCTGGATGAAAGTTCTGTTCTTTTATTGAATGAGCATGCTTGCCAGAGCCATAAGCAGATATCTCTGTTTTTCGAGACAGGGTTTCTCTGTGTAACAGCCGTGACTGTCCTGGAACTCTCTTTGTGGACCAGGCTGTCCTCAAACTCACGGAGACCCACCGCCTCTGCCTCCTGAGTACTGGGATTAAAAGTGTGCACCACCACTGCCAGCCTTAGCAGACATCTTATTTAAAGGCCTTCCTGGCATTTGTTTCATCATGTTATGTAAAAGGTGAACAGTTTTAGGAAAGCTTAACTCAAGGGGATCCTGACAGATACTGCATTGGCTCTGATGGCTCTCCACTCAGCTTTGCAGCTACTTCCTCTTGGGGAAGTTTTAAGTCTCAAGGACCAATGAGAAGACCTAACCTAATTTCTTGGAGTGGGTGCTGAACCTTTTTTCCTCTCTCAGATCCTTGTCTGCTCTTTCAGGTGCCAGGTGGCTCCAAACTGACATCTCTTGGGCTTTTATTTATCTTCAGATTGTTCATAACCCAAGCAAGTTTGTTAGTAGCTGTCTTTGTACCTGCCTGCTCCTTCTTTGAAAATTTCCCTACACCGAGGTGCCTGCTTTTCCTAGTGATGATAAACAGCAAAGAGCAGGGGACGCACGCACAGTGCCTGCATTTGAGGCAGCAGCATGTGGTGGCGAGGGCTAGGGTCATGAAGCCTGTAAGTCAGTTACAGAGGGACCTCACATCCACTGAAAACAATGCCTGTTCTTCCTTGCCATGGGAGTCCCAGTCTTTTCTCAGTGGCCTGAAGGCTGGGCATTTCAGCCTGAGTAGGTCTTCTGGCTCTGAACTGTTCTTTGTCTTGTCTGAAGCTTGTCATGGCCCCCGTGGAGGCCAGGCTGCTGTATATGTATGAGTCTCAGTGTCAATGTGTCATCTTCCCCGAATCTACTGAGCAGGTGCATGGTTACCAATCTTTGCTTATACACAGGTATCACAGTGATCTCTTTATGGCTATGTAATGCCAAGATGCCTCCTGAGCCACCTGCAGGGCATGGTGTGTTCTGGAACTTTCCTTATCCTACGTGGAGTGCCTACAGCACCTCAAGTACTGAGGAGTTACATTGCATTGACCAGTGTTCATGTCAATCAAAGTGTCCAGGCTGTTATCCAGCTTACCTCACTCTAAGGAAGCGCTTGGGGATTGTTTTCCTTGTTTGAGGAGGAGCTATGGAAGCCCTGAGCAGGAAGAGCTCACCTAAGGGGTGTGGCATATGCTTATGCCACACCCCTTAACACTTGTGCAGTTGAGTGCTGAGTTGCCTTACAGCAGCCTCCAGGGAGAGAGAGAAACTAGGTGCCCTGACAGCCTCCTTGGTAAGTCATTTCCTCCTTAGTGTGAGCTAGAGTCTTTGACCTGCCAGAGCACTAGCTCTCCTGTCCCCTGCTGATTCTTCTGCTAGACATTTCTCTCAAACTTTTTCACAGGGCCAGCAGATTGCTAGGGTACCACACTCAAGTGTTTAACAAGGCTGTTAGCCAGGAGATTTTACACTGAATTTATTTAGACCTTCCTTTATTCTAGAAGGAATTGGAGGTGGCTAATGAAAAGATTTCATAGGCATTGCTTAGTGGTCTGTTGTTAACGAGCTGAGTTTCCGTATTGCTGTATGGTATGGGGCAGACATGTTAGGAGGAATGATAAAAGAAACTAAAACACGAGTTTAACACTTCCGTTTTTGCTTCCTCTTATGTTTTTAAGTAAAGATCTGTCACAAATTCAGAGCATGAATTCTTTCCAAACTGCAAGCACTTTGGGGTATCTAGGCTGTAGTTTATAAGGGGCAAGTTCCTGGAATATTTTTTACTTTCCTTGTTAGTTTAGTTTTTTTTTTTTTTTTTTTGTGTGTGTGTGTGTGCTAGTAGAGTAGGCAGGCAAGTGTATTACCTTTTAATTCTCTGTTATCCTGAGACTAGATCTTCCTGTTTTTCCATTTGCACATAATCTGATCCCATGCTCATCCCCAGAGTCTCGACACCCAGCTCCTGTTTCTTCAGTTCTTCCCCAGTGCAACCTCTAGAGCCCAAGGCTTCATTACTGATACATTCTTGTTGCTTGGACCAAATGCTATCTATTCCTCCTGTTTAAAAACTCATCCCATCTCAACTCCGTGTTCCTTCTTGTGTTTGGCGACTATCTTGGAATATAAGCAAAGGACTGCAAAGGTGGACAAGGTGGTTAGTTGTGTTCTCTCCACCTCTTTCCTGTCTCACTGCCTTAGAAGGCCTGGGCTGCTCAGTCTTCTTAACACTTTGGCACTAAGTGTGAGGGCTGTAAGCACCTTAATTCCTTTTTATGGGAAGTAAGAAGAGGACCAAAGGTGTAGACAAACAGTGGCATTCTCTTGGCACATGCATGGGCTTGAGTTTCCTGTCACAGTCTGTGCAGTCAGCTAAACTGGAAATGGTGGGCATTCGCTCACCACACCCACACCCAGTCCACTCCACTGACGTGTCAGCCTTTCCTGTACCTCAGGGCGGGATTCCAACTGCTGCTATCAAGATTTCTCTGCTGCCCCACTGTGTTCCTGTCCCGTGGGCACAGAGCTGTCCCAGCAGTTCTCAAGAACACGTGGGTGCTAGGTTTGGAAGCTGGAATGCCTAAATCTAAAATCTGGCTAGGGCTTATGACTTGACAGGAAATGTATACTTAACCCAGAGCCCCAGACTTGTCTCTAGAATGGGGGTGATGCTGGGAGAGTGTACGGAGAGGTCAGGAGAACAGACTTGGAGGGAAGGGTGACTCTTATACCTAGTGACTCCTCAGAATTTTAACTCCTTGCCTGCTTAAGGAGCCATAAGAGTCCCAGACAGCGCGGTTAGAGATGGGTGGTGGGAGGTAAGGGTCAGGTACAACAGGACGTGGGAGGGTGAGGTTGTGGTAAAGGTGAGTGGACAGTAGGGATTCCCAGATACCTCTTTGAATTCCAAAATGGCCCAGCCCTTGAAATCTGGCTTGCTCTGCAGGGCCTATTTCCAGGACTCAGACCTCAGAAACTGCTCCAGGGCCACTGCTGACACCTAGGTCAGGCCCTGAAGTTCCTGGTTTGCTTTTTCCCTCCCCTTTCTCAGGCTGCTCGAGGCTCTGACTGTGGCATTCGTTGCTGAGCACGTAGGTCCCTCGGGGTTCTGATGAATGCTTGTCTCCACCCTCCTCAAACTCCCTCCAGGCTTCTTTTACTTTAAAATACCAAGGAATCCAGGTCCAGGCTCACACACCCCCATTCACCTTTTGGGTTACTACAAAAGCCTCTGATTCCTTCCCTCCCTTGGGCTTAGGGTTTACACTATGCACAGGCCTATCTCTGGTTTCCCCGCCCACAGAAGAAAAAAAAAAAAACAAGAAAGACTCGAAATGACTTCTGCTCGCCTTGGGCAGCAGGTGTTTCCTCCCCCAGCTTCCCTTTTTGCACCTAGTACTTGTTGATTGCAGGCACTGCACTCACCCCTCGCCTTTCTCCAGCTCAAACTCTGCGGCTTTCCTGGTTTGGATATAGGCAATAGTTTCCAGGTTCTTCGTGTTGGGTTTGATGAACTCTCTACTTGGGAACGCTCCACCAAGTCCGCACCCCTCAAAGTCGGTAAAGTTCTAGACTCAGACTCCTGGGCTGGGCTGGATTAAGGGACACTCTTGGGGAAAGTCTGTACTGGACGAGGCTGAGGGTGTGAGTGGGATCCGCATCTACACTGAGAGTTGTGACTAGGGAAAGGGCCCCAGACAAACATCTCTTCTACCACTGCCTTTCGAAGTTGGGAGACCGGGGGAAACCCGCTGTTTAGGTCTCGACAGGTGATCGGGAAGTCAGCCGAAGAGGCAGGCCCCGGAAGGAGGGGCCAGCGCAGACTCGCCCGTGGTAGGGCGGGGACCAACCGAGGGGGCTCAGGGAGCCCCGCCCCGCCCTCCCGGGGAAGGGCCACGTTGCCCGCTGGCAGGGCCCGGCGGGCGCCGCAGGAAGACCGGCGAGACGGGACGCGGCCGCTGGGTCTCGCCGGTCCGGAGCGAGCCTGGTTCCAGGCAGGGAGAGTTGGGAGTATCTGGTGAGTTGGGTCGGCGGATGCCGGCGTCCACGGTCCCAGGAGGGCAGGAAGCTCGGCGGAGGGAGGCCGCGCGGCCAGGGGAGTCGGGTCTGAGTTCCGAGTATGCCCGAAAGCCCGGGCTGTTGGAGCGGCGAGCGTGGCGGGCCCACCCGGGGCTGCGCAGAGCGCAGTCTCCCCCGCGCGGGGAAGTGAGAACTTCGCGCTCAGAGGCAGGCTTCCCGGCCTTTAGCTGTGTGTGTGTGGGGGGGGGGGCGGCTTCTCCCGGAGGGGCTGTTGTGAAACTCGGCTGGAGGGCACTGCTACGGCGGGTTGGGGAGAGGTGGGGTCGCCTTGAGGGAGCAGGGGACTGGAATAGAAAGTGGGCTTTCTCCAAGCCTCATCAGAGTCTAGGCTTCATAAGTTACTAGGGCTTGTTTTTGCCTAGCCATAAGGAAAATTGACTCAATATTGAAATATGTAAGTTGGCAAGAAAACTTTTCCCTGATCTCTTTGCTAATGTGTGTGAAACGGGGGGCCCCCAAGAGGTGCAGAGCCCCCCATTTTACGAAATGTTCAGAGGGACTGGCCCACCCAATTGTCTGTATGGATGAGTGGCCTTAGCCCGAAGCTTCATTTTCGTTAACCCTTGCTACTGTAATGGCTTTCGTGCTTAAGAACATCGTTGGCCCGTATTATTGTCTGCCTATTTTAATACTATCAAGACGGGAAAATTCTTGATTCTGGAGTCTTCCCATATTCAGTCACTACTACTTGATCTTTTTGTTTGTTTGTTTGTTTGTTTTTCGAGACAGGGTTTCTCCGTAGCTTTGGAGCTTGTCCTGGAACTAGCTCTTGTAGACCAAGCTGGCCTCGAACTCACAGAGATCCGCTTGCCTCTGCCTCCCGAGTGCTGGGATTAAAGGCCACCACCGCCTGGCTGAATACTTGATCTTTTAGTGTGGAGATCACTAATAATGGCGGCAGTGCATCCCTGCTTCTGTTTCTCAGAAGGTTCCACCACAGTGTGTTCAAACTCTGTGGCAGTTGCAACAAGTTAAACTAATTTTCTACTTAGGACATCGGGAAATTGTTATTGTCTCCAAACTCTGTGGCAGTTGCAACAAGTTAAACTAATTTTCTACTTAGGACATCGGGAAATTGTTATTGTCTTCCAGACATCAGGGACCTTGGAGATGACCAAAGTCAACTTGTCTGTTTACAGATGAGGAACTGATACAACGATTCATCAGGTTACTGGTTCAGGGGCTCTGGGGGCTTGCTGTTGCTGGGCTGTGGGGCTTTCATGCTTTTGCTGTACCAGCACTGTGTTTCTCTCTCACCTTTTCCCCTCGGGTCTTACCCTCTACAGCCTTGAATTATTTAGCATATCTACTCTGACTCCTTTTCAGTTCTTCCTTCCCTGTGAAATTATTTAGCCTGGTACCTTATACAGAGTATAACAACCAGAAAGTAGTTCACTTAGCCGTTGTCTGTGATGTGTTCTTCGTGCTCTGGATTTTTTAAACTGTGCTTTTTAAAATAGTGGGCAAGGCAGAAAGAAATAGGAGGGACAGTTCAGTAACATTCCTTCCATCTTGATCCTTAAAAGCTAGGTATAACATTTGCTTTCCTGATCCTGGTTGGAAGTTGACCGTTTCTGTTCACTTGTCGCTTAAGGAACATCTTTGGCAGAGAGGGGGCAAGCATGGATGGAATCGACCTTAGAGGCTAGATGCGGAAGTGCAAGCTTGTCATAGCAGAACTCTGCTTGTTATACCTGCTGTCTTGGAGCCCTTGGAAAGAACACATACATGATGGTGTTCCAGCCAGCTCTCCAGCCACTGTCCCAGTTAAGGTCAACATCAGACTACTGATGTGTTAAGAAAATGACCATCTACAGGAGCCTAGCCCTCAGCATTTGAGTCTTCCAGCCCAAGGTCCTGACAAATGGCAGAGACAGGTCCTTCCCTCTGCCCCGTTTTCTAAATTCTTCAACTATTGACATTGGGTGAAGGAATAAATGATTGTAACAGTTTTAAGCCAATATGTTAAGTAAGTTAACAAAAACCACTGATAAGAAATGGGTGAGAGTAGAGCAGTCAGTCTTTCAAGTCTGGGCTGGGACCCGAGTGTAGCAGGTAGAGAGGGGCACTCGCCCTACTTATCCGAGATTGTGTTCCATGTTCTCATTTAAGTACAGTCTGCTGTAATGAATCACCCCAAACTTAGTGGACTTTGTTGTTGCAGTCAGATATAGCTGGTTCCTTTCCATCCTTAGTGGTTAGCTATAGTAGTGAGCGGGAATGCTAGCTGAGCTTGTCAGCTGGAACACCTTGGATGTCCTGTCTTGCTATGCAGCCCAGATTAGTCTTGAACTTCCGGCATTTCTCTTGCCTCTGTTGCCTGAGTGCTGAGATTACAAGTGTGCTCCATCATACCCAGCCATCTTGTCTTTTAGGGATAACTTAAAGGAGTCATAGGTCGCCTCAGAATCACAGGGAAGGTATGTGGACCCTCCCCTATGGAGGAAGAAGAGCCATCATTTTGAATGAAGAGCTTCCAGAAGGGGAGATGTGGCAGTCCTCTGTGGAAAGTTCAGTTCTTCACTTTTGCTGCTGTTTTCACCTTCATTCTCTATGGATTCGTTAATAGCAGAAGTAGTCCTTCATGCAGCCTCTCAAGACTTCACATGTCCAAGCACTGTAGCAGGTGTAGAGGACATGGAGCCTCTTTCCCTAAGGAGTGAGATAAGAGCCAAGGAAGGGATGATCAGATTCTCGTACCACGTGGAGCGAGTGCGGAGGAAGAGTGGTCACAGGGAGGTTTGGTTGTAGTGTCCGGGATGCTCCACACGCCTAGGGAATGTGAATGTTTTAGGTGGAGCACTGGTAGCAGCACTTGAGGAGCAAAGACACCGGTGTGCAGAAGCAGTTCCTGGGGAGGGACCCAGTCCTACGGCTCATGTGGGATCCCTGTCATTCATGATAGAAATGCGATTACAGAAGGATGCACATCAGTTGTGAAGCCCATTTCTGTTGCTGGGGGGCCACTACCCAGCTCCCAAATAAATCACACATGGAGGCTTATTTTTTTCTTATGAATTCCTGGGCTTAGCCTGGCTTATTTCTAGCCAGCTTTTCTTAACTTAGACGATTCTGTCTATGTTTTGCCTCTGGGCTTTTATCTTTATTCTGTATACCTTTCTTCTTACTCCATGGCTTGTTCTGTAGCCAGGTGGCTGCCCCCTGGTGTCCTCTTCTTTTCTTACTCCTCCACCTTTTTCTTCCCAGATTTCTCCCACTCTCTCTGCCTGCCAGCCCCACCTATTCTTTCTCCTGCCTCGCTATTGGCTGTAAAATCTTTATTAGACCAATCAGGTGTTTTAGACAGGCAAAGTAACACAGCTTCACAGACTTAAACTAATGCAACGTAAAAGAATGCAATACACTTTTGTATCATTAAAACAAATGATCCACAACATAAACTTGACACATTTTTGTCAAACTAAGGAGTTTGAATTTATTCCATGTGGGTAGTGGCAGCCTCTCTTAATTTTACTTAATTGTGTCCAAGTATCACCTGCTACCAGAGGTTGTTTAGAGAGAAGCCACAGGTAGGTCACTTCAGCTGGGGAACTACCAGGGATTCCAGATTAACAGGTTAAAGGGGTTGAGGGCTTGAAATAAGAATGGCGATGAATGGGGAACTGTTTCAACCCTTGGCATAACTCTGAAGCTTTTAGGGCTAGCCATGTTTCTGAAGTTAGAATCTAGTACCAAGTGGGGAGTTGTTCATGAGCCCTCACCCCTAACTGAGGAGCTGTTGACAGCCACTGGATTGGGGAGGAGAAAGAATGAGTTTTCTTTAAAGGTGTGACTTCTGCTAAGTCATCCATGTTCCAGTGGATGGCTCCATACCATGAGTCTATGGGCAGCACAAATGGGAGTGCAAAACAAGAGGAGTTAAGGGGGGGTTTGGACCTTGGATGTCTTTGTCTGTTGCGTGTGTGTGTGTGTGTGTGACAGAAACTGTGATCAAAATATTACTGTATGATATTCTCAAAAAACTCTAAGAACAGTGCATGATAATCCACTATGTTCATTTCTGTAGCAAAAATGTGAGTAGACACTCAAGTGGGGTGGAGAATATAAACAGCCCAATATTAGATTAGATCCAACGCCACCAAATGTGGAACTGTGGGATTTTCTTGTCGAATGAGTTTAGGAAACTGTTTGTCGGTGCGTTTTGGATTGGAAATAGCAGTGGAGGGATTGTGCATATGTGTGGTGTCCACACTGAAGACACTTAGGTTGCATGCACATTTGCATGCTGAAGTTTGTAGTTTGGCAGTGCGTGGAGCTGATACAATCCTTGGGTTGCCTTTTGCTGGTTTCACTGGCATGGACAGTGATAGGGAGGTGGACTCTCATGATCTGAAGACATCAAAGATGTCTTGACATTTATTTTGTTGTATAGCTGGTACTGTTCTAAATGCGCTATGGATTGTCTCACTCATTCTTAAAGCAGCATACTGAGGTATTCCATGATCGTTTCTATCATAGAGGTGAGAAAATTGAGTCTTAGAGATGTAGAAAAATACAGGATGATGCCAAGCAGTGCTTCTTGTCTGACTTTATGCATGTCTGCTGTGTCCTTCTTATGGTGCCTGAAAGGAATCAGGAGCTTGTCCACCCTGCCAGCCAAGGTCTGAATTGGATCACACCTCTAAACATGGCAGCTGCTGTAGAGGGCATCACTCGTGGTCAGTGTGCATTCATGGGAATAGGGCCAAAAGGAAAAATGGCTGAGCGTGCCTTCTGCCTGTGCTTCTAGTACCTCAGACCACAACCTAATGGGCTAGTATCTAAAAGGCTATTGCCTGAATGGATTCCCACAACAGGAATTGCGCTCTTCATGACAAAACAAGCAAGTGCTGTTGAAGAGTTCATATGGAAGGGCTGGGAAAGGAGGGCAGGAAGGAACCAAGAGCCTGAGAGAGGTTTTCCTGTGAGCCATCCAGTCACTCGAAATGTTTGTAGACTTGCTAAAAATCCTGCTGACAGGCAATCCTGACTTGCTTTGATCTGCATGCTAGTGGGTGCATTGCACCTAGTTCGACATCTAGAGAAAATGAAAAGTCATTTGAAGGTGATTTCTTGAAGGTTTGCCACCAGCCTGAAAACGTGTAGGTAGGTTTAAAGTGTCTCATTGACGATTCAAGGACAGTCCACTCCTCTATTCCAGAAGACAGCACTTAAGTTAATGAAGTTCTGTCTCTTTGTCTTGCTCCCATCCTTTTGTATTAAAGCCTTTTCCTGCTTAGACACCTACTTAGAAGGCAGGAAGATAGGGGTACCCTGAAATCCTGGCCATGGGAATATAGGGAAAGTTTCAACATTGACCACGTTTTGAAGGGGAGTAAAGGAGAACCTGGCAACTGGTACATCTCAACTCTCCCAAGAAACTGGTATAATGAAGTAGGGATGTAATGCCACAGCTGAGTGGAAATGACCTAAGGTTTCTGTGAATATTGGCATTCTAGGAACTGCGGGGGCAGCCGGGCTTGGTTCTGTAGAGAGTAGATCTGGAACCTAAGGTTTTGAACTAGGATAGCGAATGGAGGTGTGAGTGCAGCGAAGGGTCAGTGAGACCAGGGCCTTTTCTTGTGTCCTTACCCCTTAAAAAGCCCGGCAGGAGCAGGTATGCAGTTGAGAGATTCAAGGTAAAACTGGTCAGTCAGCTTTGTTCCCTTACTGAATGTGCCCAGCTGGGACAATAGCTAATGGATGAAGTTTATTCAGATGGAGCCCACATTGCCTTATTTTATTTATTAAAGAAATTTTATTTAGAAACAGTTTTTACAAAAAAGTTTCAGGTATGAAAATGGCCCTCCAGAGTGTCACTCAGATAATCACGTTCATGTGCTGTTGAGGGAGTGCCCCATTCAACCTGTGCAGCTACGCTGCTTCCTGTTCTTATGCACCCCTTTGCCTCTAAATATTTCAGTGTGTATTCCCTCAGAATTGGGGTGCTCTCTTGCATACCTTAATAGATACCGGTTATTATATCTACTTTAACTTACTGTCTAGATCAGTTTTACTTTGTATGATTAGTAACTTAAAATTTTTAAAAATTTTATTTTTTGTATTTTATATGAATGAGTGTTTTGCTTACTTCTACGTGTGCATTCATGGTACTTTCAAAGATTAAAAGGTGTCAAATCCCCTGGAACTGGAGATGTGGATGGTTGTAAGCCACCTTGTGAGTGCTGGTATCTGAACCCTGGTCCTGTGCCAAAGCAACCACTGAGACATCTTCAGCCTTTAGTGTCTTTTTTGTAAGAGTTTTATTGACATATAATTGACACACAGTAAACCACATGTTTAAAAAGTACAGTTTGTTTTGATATATATATATATCTCCATAAAATGATTACCATAATCAACATGATAATCAAGACAATAAAAATATCCACTCACCCCAAAATTTACTGACGTCCTCCAGCCCCAGATTGAGAGCTTCAGTTCTTCAGAGGTCAATAAGAAACTTGAGACAGGTTTTGATTTTTTTTGTCAGTCTCATGAGTAGTATTTATTTAATTTGCATTTTGCTTATGCTTGAAGTTGAACATTTTCTGATATGTGTAAGGACTATATGTATTTCTTATGAGCTACCCTTATTGGCTCATTTTCTATAGAATTGTTTGCCCCTTTTTCCTCTATTATTTGAAGTCTTCCCCTAGTGTGATAATGTGTCAGTGATTGATGCTGCAGAAGTGCTCAGTCCATTCTCTTTCCTTGTACTCTTTCTACCCTTGTAAGTCTTTCAAGTAAGGAAAAACATCAGTTTGCTTTTGTTGCACCAAGAGTCAAACCTAGAAAGCCTTCCTCAGCTCCCATATTTCCTCCTAGACTTCAGTTGTTGGTTTGCTTGTTTTGTTTATAATTTGTTTGAATTTCTGGTGTACTTGGAAATTATCCATATATAGATATAATTTTAGACCTATATTTTTCCAAATTCCTGTATAATAGTTATAGTCTTGTTCTGTTCCATTGCATAGTCTACTTATTTATTACACAGTCTAATTGCAGACTTTTAGTAATTATTATTTTGATATCTCATTGAACAAGTCCCTCCACCACTCTTTTGCGCAAATATTCCTGTTTGTCTCCATACAAAAGCAGATTTATTGAATTTTTGATGGTCCAGTGTAATTCAAGTAAAAGGATGTTGAAGTATTTTAAGTTTTTTAGGAAATATAATTTTGTTTCATACAGGCTTTTGAATGTTTAAGTTTATCTTTAAATATTTGTTTTCATAGATTTTGCATAGGGTTTTCATCTCCATTACTTCTAATTAGATTTTGTGCTCTGAAGGCCATTGCAAGCAAGTATGTTAGTGGTTTTTGCCATTGGCTGCTGTGTAGCTGTTTCTAGAAACCCGCACATCAGCAAACAGGTAGTTTTGCTTCAGTCTTCAGTTGTTTCACTTGTATTGGCTGACTAACAACCACTGAGATTGTGGGCAGCATGACTTTAAGATTAATATAATTACTATTTTCGTTTCTTTTTTTCTTGGTTTTTCCAGACAGGGTTTCTCTATTTAGCCCTGGCTGTTTCTGGAACTAGCTTTATAGACCATGCTGGCCTCAAACTCAAGAGATCTGCCTGCCCTTTCCTCCCAAGTGTTGGAGTTAAAGGCATGTGCTGCCACATCCAGCCCCTCTTCTATTTTCCAGTTGTTGTTTTGTTGTTGGTATGTTACCACAATACTATCAACAGGAGCTGGGTAATGCTCCATTGTATATCTATAGCACATTTTGTGTGTCTGTTGGTCTGTCACCGACACTGAGGCTGATTCCATAACTTGAATATTGTAGGCAGTGACTCCATAAACACGAGTGTTGTCGGCAGCCTGGCGTTATTTCTGACGTCATTGTATTAAACAGAATAACCAAACACAGAAAGACAAACATTCTCCTTCGTTGTGTTTCCTTACTAAGTCAGGTGTGATATTTGATTTTTAAAAAAATCAGTAATTTTAGGGTAGTTTGACTTGAAGAATGGGGGTTAAATGGTCTTACCTCTCCCTCCTTCTGAACTAGACTCTGGCTGAAAGACAGAAAATGAGATCTGGCTGGTAGGGAACCAGGAATGACTGTCTTCCTTCCTTCCTTCCTTCCTTCCGTCTGTCCGTCCGTCCGTCCTATCCCACTACCATCATTTTCTGCCTCATTTTGAAGCAGTAGAGCATGCCGTCCTGATGCAGTCCACCTCCTTGCTTCCCTTTTTCCTTAGTTACTCCCTGTGCCCATCCTCCCCCCTGTGGCATGTGGAATTATACATACTTGAGGTAACAGTTGGTTTTCTCTCTTCTCTTTAGGTTCATGGCTTCTTCCTAATCTCAGCGCGGAAGAATCAACCCTTAGATTTGGAAAGTGAGCCAGGCAAGCCCAAGGCAGCCTTGAGCCCTCCCCTTGCCTGCCCTCCCCTGTGGGGGCCAGGATGCTGAAGAAGCAGTCTGCAGGGCTTGTGCTTTGGGGTGCTATTATCTTTGTGGGCTGGAATGCCCTACTGCTCCTCTTCTTCTGGACACGCCCAGCACCTGGCAGGCTACCCTCAGACAGTGCTCTTGATGACGACCCCGCCAGCCTCTCCCGTGAGGTGATCCGCCTGGCCGAGGATGCTGAGGTAGAGTTGGAACGGCAGCGGGGACTGTTGCAGCAAATCAGGGATCATCATGCTTTGTGGAACCAGAGGTGGAAAGTGCCCACTGTGGCCCCTCCAGCCTGGCCCCGTGTACCTGTGACCCCCTCACCAACAGTGATCCCCATCCTGGTCATTGCCTGTGACCGCAGCACTGTCCGGCGCTGCCTGGATAAGTTGTTGCACTATCGGCCTTCAGCTGAGCGTTTCCCCATCATCGTCAGCCAGGACTGTGGGCACGAGGAGACAGCACAGGTCATTGCTTCCTATGGCAGTGCTATCACACACATCCGGCAGCCAGACCTGAGTAACATTGCTGTACAGCCAGACCACCGCAAGTTCCAGGGTTACTACAAGATCGCCAGGCACTACCGCTGGGCACTGGGTCAGATCTTCAACAAGTTCAAGTTCCCAGCAGTTGTAGTCGTGGAGGATGATCTGGAGGTGGCACCAGACTTTTTTGAGTACTTCCAGGCCACCTATCCACTGCTGAGAACAGACCCCTCCCTTTGGTGTGTGTCTGCATGGAATGACAACGGCAAGGAGCAGATGGTAGACTCGAGCAAACCTGAGCTGCTCTATCGAACAGACTTTTTTCCTGGCCTAGGCTGGCTGCTGTTGGCTGAACTGTGGGCAGAGCTGGAACCCAAGTGGCCCAAGGCCTTCTGGGATGACTGGATGCGCAGACCTGAGCAGCGGAAGGGACGGGCCTGTATTCGGCCAGAAATTTCGAGAACGATGACCTTTGGCCGCAAGGGTGTGAGCCATGGGCAGTTCTTTGACCAGCATCTTAAGTTCATCAAGCTGAACCAGCAGTTTGTGTCCTTCACCCAGCTGGACTTGTCGTACCTGCAGCAGGAGGCCTATGACCGGGATTTCCTTGCCCGTGTCTATGGTGCCCCCCAGCTGCAGGTGGAGAAAGTGAGGACCAATGACCAGAAGGAACTGGGGGAGGTGCGGGTACAGTACACTAGCAGAGACAGCTTCAAGGCCTTTGCTAAGGCCCTGGGTGTCATGGATGACCTCAAGTCCGGTGTCCCCAGGGCTGGCTATCGGGGCATTGTCACTTTTCAGTTCCGGGGCCGGCGTGTCCATCTGGCACCCCCACAGACCTGGGGTGGCTATGATCCTAGCTGGAACTAGCACCTGCCTTTCCCTGCTGGGTCTCCTTGGCACACCATGAGCTGAGACAGGCCTGCAGTCCCGGGCTATACCATCCTGTCAGTGTTTCCCTCTTGGGTCTATAATCTTTCTCTTTCTGTGCCCCCCTCCCCAGTGGCATTCTAGTGCACAAACCATGATGAGGGTTATACTCCTGTTATCAGGAGAACTATTGTGTGGTGTATTTGGTGATACTGAACAAGAAACCACTGTGTGGTATGGGGAGGCTTGGGCTTGTTGGGGCCAGGGTAAGGGCATCTGCAGAGAGCTTGGCAGCTCTAGCTCTCTTGACCAGGCCTGTTGACCCTGACCTGGCTTCTGTCGGAACATGAACCCACCTTATATACCTATTCTCCCTTTCTTCACCTTCCCCCAGTGTGGGGCTAGGTTATGGAAGAAAGAATGGGGTTGTGGCCAAATGAGACTAACCAAAGGGGCTTCACTCTCAGGGTCAGATTGGAGTTGTTGGGGTGCCTGGGGCCACTGCCTCCTGGCCTCTCTTCCTGCTGACTCTCTAATGTTCTTCTCCTGCAGCACAGCAGCTTGTGGTTGGGAGATGGGAGGTGGAAAGGGAGAGCAATTTCTGTGCTAGGGTCAGCTGTCAGGAAAGCCCCGTACTTGGGCACCCCTCCTTTCTGGAAGTCAGTTCTCTCTGTGTCCGTTAGGAGGAGTTGGTGCCAGCCTGGTGGGAGACAGTGGGCTGACTTCTGTGCCTCTTTTCCCCTGGGGTTTGGTGTAGAGGCTCCTCCCTGAGGGCTGGCTCCTGGTGGCCATCTCAGAGCAAAGTATCCCAGGACATCTCTGGCCCCAAACCAGCTTCTGTCCTGCCTTCCTAAGCATTCCCACATCTCCCCCCGCCAAGCTGCAGGTAGCAGGTTGGAGAGAAATTTGTGTGTTTTTGTTTGTTGCCTGACCTTAGTTTCATGGAAGAAAATTAAATCTACAGAATTATTTTCAAAAATAAAGGCTGAATTGTCTGAGTTTCCTGTCTATGTCCTAGGAAAGGAGGTAAAAACGGTGGTGGTAGGGGGGATAGAGGGAGGGAGGGAAGTCTACGGGAAGAGCTAGGCAGGTGAGAGAGCAAGAGGACACTAGAAGGACAGAAAATGAGAACAACGGGGTAGCTGCGACTGGGGGAGGGCAAGGGACAGCTGAGGAGGGGACCAGGTGGGGCAGCCAGGCTGGCTTGTGGGGAGGGCCCAGGGCTGCAGGCCTGCTGTTAATCTTCCAGTTGGTTAACAAGCGGGTCTGGGAGTGGTCTGCAGAAAGCATGGCGTCTCAACCCTCCGAGGGCTGTCTTGTGGCATGTGCCCTTGGCTCAGGCAGTGTCTACTGGGCACCTCAGCAAGCTGCCCATGAGTCCAGGGTTTGCGGATATAAGGCAGGCTCTGCAGTGGCAGTGGCACTTAAGACTCCGGATTGTGGCCTCAGTGACAGCCAGAGCACATCTGTCCCACCCCCAGTGTTTACTGAGACTTCACCCATATGTGTACTCCTAAAAGGGTGTCCTCCGTAAAAGTTTCATTCCCTGCTAGTGTGTGTGTGTGAGCGCGAACACACATGGGTGCTTGCATGTTCATGTATGTGTAGGTACACGTGTGCGCTTTTATGGAGCCCAAAGGTCAACCTCATGTCACTCCTCAAAATACTGTCTCTGTTACTTTCCCACTGGCAGAGAACTTACCCATTGCGCTAGGCTGGTGGCCACCGAGCCCCAGGGATCCGCCAGTCTACCTCAGTGCTGCGACAATTGGCCTTTTTACATGGGTTCTAGCAGTTCAACTCAGGTCATCTTGTACAGCTAGTTATTCGTTAGCTGAGAGCTACCCCCCCTTCCCCCGCCCCCAGTTGATTCCTTAAAACCCCGGATCTTACTGAATGACAGTCACATTTGGATCTGGCCAGTTTTGGTAGAGATCACTGGGTAAGCTCTGTCCAGGAGGGGAGAAGGAGGAGCTAGTGACTTTGGTTTTGGGCTCAGGAGTGCAGGCTAAAACGATGGACTCCTCTTCACTCGTCTTGAACTTTTACATTGCTTGTGTCTCCCCTTGCTGCTCTGAGATGAATTATTTAACTCTGATTTTGAAAGGAGATAGCCCATTGTTTGTCGCAGCAGACGCAGGGCCGAGAGGAGACACATCATCTCAGACCGTTGAGTGGAGAGTAGTTTGGACTTCATGTTCTCAGCACTTAATGCATTTAGCAGCCTCTGGCCAAATGCTTTGTTCTGAACACTGCCAGGATTGTGTGGCTGCTGTTTACCAGTGGAGAAGCAAGCACAATAGGGGTGAACTTGATCGGGGATGCCTGGGGCAGACCCAGGATTTGAATGGAATGTGTGCTGTAAAGAACTGAGATACCGAACTGGTCCATTTTATCCTTCAGTGCCTTCACCCCTCCCCAGCCTCATCTGGCCCCACGGCAGCCTGAGATACCAGGCTGCCCTGGATCGTGGGCATGTTAGTGTGAGTCCAGGAAGTACAGAGCAGGAAGAGGAGGAACGGGATGATTTGAAGCCTGCTAAAGCTGTGCAGAGGCTTAAGAAGAACAGCCTGGCTTCTCAGGTTTTCCTCAAAATGAGTCCCTTTTCGAGGTCTCTTCATATTCTGTTTGCTTTTGAAGTGTGCCCCAAAGCGTTAGCTTTCTGCTTTGAGGGTCATGTGTACATAGTTGACAGGATCCCTGATGCTTTTGTGGACAACAAGGGGGTGCGCCAGCTGGAAAACACCGTGGTGTTAAATGTAGAGTTGTCTTCTCTTACAGTTCAGAGATTCCACAGTTGTCCCAGGTCACCTGCCTCCGGGCTTTGCTGTGGTTCCGCTTTTGTTCCTGTTCAGCACCCCTTGGTCCACCCACTGCCATTCCTTATGCCCGCCCTTTACTCATGACTCTGAGGGCTCAGGACCACTATCTTTGTCTTCCCTATGGCCTCACCCTCTCTAGGGCACGTTGAGAGTCACCCCATTGTAGACAGATGTATTGGATGTAGTCTCTGTGGCAAGGCTTCTGAGTCTTCAGTAGCCTTCACCTTCTCGTTTCCATTTGGTCCCTGTCGGGTGGGTTGCCAGGAGGACTGAACCTCTTAGGAAAGACCAGGAGGGTGGGAGTAAGAGGGTAATGGCAGCACTTGGTTTGAAAATCTTACTTTAAGAATGTCATCTCCCCTTTATTCCATATTTGTTTTAGGAAGTCAAAACAGATTACAGTAATATCCATGCCTCTACCAGATTTATATTGTGGTGCAGGATCCTACCAGACTTCTTTTGCACGCAAATAGAACATATATTTATCAAAAATTCATAAAATTCTGCAAATACTTAGCTTATATAAGTTTACGTAACTAATAAGTTTATGTAACATAATGTTAGCCTCATTTTTAAGAAATATGGGTCTCAGATTTCTAGGTGGGAGTTTTGCAGCATCAGGTGGTTTGCCACTCCAGGAGCCGTTGGCCCGGTTTTCTACTCAGCACTTGGCTGGCCTGGGCACATCTCGAGGAGTTTGTTTGAAGCAGAGGTTAGAGACCCCTTTAGGTCAGGGATCAAGTGCTACCGCCTCTGAGGCCCAGAGACCAAATGTGATACAGATTATCTGTAGCGCCCGTACGCGAGCCGGGAACTAGGCTGGAGAATTAAACACACACACACATAGACAGAGACACGGGGACTCGGGTCATCCTTGATACAAGAGTGCCAACTTTATTGTGCTCCAGGGAAGCTTATATAGGGATCCTTAGCTGATAGCCACAACCCAGCTCTCAGGATCTTTCAGCTGAAGGCCTCAACAGAACCCACTCCCCTGCCATCAGGGTCTCGTGCTCAGAGCAGCTGCAGGCACAGGTAAACAAGTTGTTTTGCTCAGTTCACTGCAGCAGGCAAAGGGTCTGAGGCAGGCAAAGAAAGTCAAGGGACCAGGGGTCTGCAGCAGGTGATGGGCCTGACCGAATCCTGCACCAGGCCCATTATCTGTACGTCTTACTCTGGAGAAGACAGACCTTGGAGCCTGCCAGAACTTCGTCCTGTGAGATCAGTATCTTCTGGAAGGTTATGAAGATGAATTAATGTCTGGAAGCAACATGAAGACAGGCCCGTGGAAATCTTTTGTTTTCTTTCCCGGCGCTCACCTTGGTCCCCCTGCTTTGTTTCACATGGGTCTAAAGGAAGTTGAATGGCCGTCTTAGAGGCTGTGGACATGAGGATCATGTGGTACTGAAGTCGGAGTGCTTTGCCTTGCCGCCTCCCTTTGCTCATTTGAAGTCTGGCTCTCTCTACTAAAACACAAATGACTCAGAACTAGAGTTAGCTGAAGACAACAGGAAATTTGGGTCTAAAGAAATGAGCAATAGGGGCTGGCGAGATGGCTGATCAGTTTAAAGAGTGGATACCGCACATGCAATAGGACCCAAGTTCAGTTCCTAGCCCATACATCAGGTAGCATACAACCACTGGCAGCTCCAGTTCCACGGAATCTGAGATCATGCTTCCTGGAGCGTGTTGTATATAGACATACAACAGGCACAGACATGCAACTAAAAATTCTTTTTTTAAAATATTTTTTAAAATTATTTATTTATTTATTATGTATACAAGATTCTGTCTGTATGCCTGGAGGCCAGAAGAGAGCGCCAGACCTCATTAGAGATGGTTGTGAGCCACCATGTGGTTGCTGGGACTTGAACTCAGGACCTTTGGAAGAGTAGACAATGCTCTTAACCACTGAGCCATCTCTCCAGCCCCTAAAAATTCTTAAAGAGAGGTAGGTGATGTAGAGCTGGCTTGGTGCCTTCTGATGTCATCAGAGCCTCAGATGCATGTTGGTCTCGCCCTCCTTAGCATGAAGCTTCCATTCTAGGTGTTACTCCTTGACTACAAGAGTTCCAGCCATCACCCAGGTTAGGCTGGAGGAAGGGAAGACAGGCTAAAGAAGGGCCATTCCATTTCTGGGAACCTGAAGTCAGTGCCTGGTCACAGGTCCGTGGCCACAAACAGAACATACAGACATGCTCTCAGCAAAGGAGACAGTCAGAGTAACTGCCAGCTAAATAGGTTTTTAGTTAAACTAGGATTCCTGTTACTGAGGAGAAGGGGAGTGAGGTGTGGGAAGCCATCTGTGCTGTAAGGCCTGCAAGACTAGAGCCAGTCGTGGCGGGAGAAGGTTCCTGGGGAAGGGAGGGTGATGGTGTTATGGAAGTGCATTAAGAATCCTAACCTGGAGAAGGGCAAAACTAAGCTTTTTAAAACCCTTCCAGGGTTCCATGAGAACTCTCCTATAGTGGTGAAGCCTGCCCAGGGTTGCACGAGAGTAGTCTTACCGTTTTGTTTATTTTTCAAGGCAGACTTTTTCCATGTAGCCTGGCCGTCCTGGAACTCTCTGTAGACCCGGCTGACTTCAAGCTCAGAGATCTACCAGCCTCTTCCTCCCGAGTTCTGGGATTAAAGGCGTGCGCCACCACCACCCAGCTAAGAGTAGCATTCTTCAAGACCACACCCATCTACAGTGCTGATTGACAGGCACAGGCAGATAGAGGAAGGAACCATCTTCAACACGGCTGTAGGCTCACCATCCAAGATGGACCTAGGCATCAGGAAGGAGTCAAGGCAAAGGGAGGACGAACAGTTCTTCACAGGCTGACATCAGTGCCCACATCACCCTCCAGTGCACACATGCACACATGTTCCATCCGTTAGAACTTAGCCCAGCCCGGGTCTCTTAGTCACAGGTAGAGTAGGAAATGGAGTCTCCGCTTGATTACAGTGTGTTCAGCTAACGCTCTTACTTAGGGCAGGCATAGGTGGGGTGGGATGGTTAATGGCCAGGCAGTATTCGTGAGTATGGAGATATGATACCTTTATTATATTTCAAGGTTTCTATTTAAGAAAAAAGAACTCAGGCCCTGAAAACTCACCAAGACCCTCCATACCTTCCCAGAGGAAACCACCGATTAGCAGACACTGTGGGAACAGCTGCCTCCATCCTGCAG